AAAAAAAAAATGTACAACAGCTCACAGAGAAAACCGTTAGAAAGAAAAAGACTGGATTCTGGTTCACTTTTCCTTACAGATCAAAATTTTCAAAACATCTAACCTCAACCATTTTTATAAGACCACGAATCATGAAGAGAGTACACGCAAGATATCCACATTGAAAGCATACATTTCAATCAAAACAAATCAAACTTCCATGAAAAGTTAAGAAAACAAATTATATAACCACACAAATTCGTTCTAACTAAACAGTACATAAAAAAATCGAAGGGCAGATAACATAGTGGAAGAGGAAAAAGACGACCTGAACTTCATCGTAGGGCCACCGGTTGAACAGCATAATGCCGCACTGGGCCTTTTCCACCTCGGTTGAGACGGCGGGCACCACCTCTTCTGTTGCCATATCTTCTCCTTGTTCTTCACCTGCACCAACCCAAGCACAAAAAAAAAAAACCTATTAGCAGCTGTTGCTAAGAAGGATCTTATAAAGAAGAGCAGATACAGAAAAAAAAAAATCAACTCAACTCTTGTAAGCTGTGACGGCGTTTGCCTCTGGAGTGAGAGTAAAATGAGACGATGCAGCCTTGTTGGAGAAATGGAAAGCCCTAGCGGCAGTTATAATAAGGGTTTGATAGTGATATGACTATAATATCCTTCGCTTATGACGAATTTGCATATAACAACCACTCACTATGACAGCCCCTATAAACAAACAAACCCAGGTTCGAGTATTTTCGAGCTCCAACCAATTCCGACCCGATAATATTGTGAAAAATCCGCACAGCTGAAACAGAAAAAATGTTGCGCTCAGCACGTCGTTGCTCCTGTTGGGCTGTTCACTTCCAGAAATCCCACCGACCGCACATAACGGCGCCGGCGCTTCAATCGTTGTTCTCGACCTCCACCCCCGCGCCGCCTCCGCTCCGAGTTGAGCTCACTGAGTATGCCGGCCGAGGCGTCTTCGCCTCTCGGAGAATCGGCGCCGGAGAACTCATCCACACCGCAAAACCTGTTGTTTCTCATCCTTCTCTTCCATCGATTCACTGCGTCTGCTATTCATGCCTTAGGAGACTTCCGGACCGCGATGCCAGCTCGGGAGCTCCACAAAGTGTGTTGTTTTGCAGCAAACAATGCGAAGATCAATCACTGGTAACCACCACTGTCCTTGCTCAAATGCATTTTAGTAAATTCGTTTTGACATGTGAGAATTTGAGATGTTGTTCAACTAAAAGGTAATACTTTTGAACTGCTTGGCATGTTTCAATAATTTTAGTGAAATTAGCGTATAATGTGATCTTCATTTTCTGTAAATAAATCTTATTTGTATGAAGGGACAAGTTACGTAAGCTGTTTTCATAATTTATGAAGAGAAAACAGTAAAGGGTATGAGTTTGCTTCAAATGTTGAGTGAAAGGTAGAATAGAGGTAGAAACAATAATTATTGCACTGCAGCCTTTAAATGCTTTCGTTTCCTTAGTTCTGTATCTTGTATTCCATCTGGAATTTCTGCACTTATTTAACCTCTGTTTCATGGCATTAGAAATTTTATGATGTTGAGTACAAGGCAGATTGGTCGAGATTTGATGGATATTGTCGGTATGTGGATCTTCATTCTCCATTTACTATGACTTTTATTATTTTCGATATTCACTGTTCCTTCTGAAGACTGCAGGGCCTAAAGTATCCTCTTCTAGCCAAACGGTTTGCTTGTCAAGTTATTTCCGGTTCTGTTACCGCTGACATGCTTGACATACTCCAACCAGAGAATTTATCCTTTGAAAAAATTGCTGAGGTAAGCATCTCCAGTTTCTGTAAGGGCATTACTGTGAAATTCGCACGGAATTGTATAGATAGTCACCTCTATTAGACAATTACCTATATGCTTTAGATACATAATAAAAAGGTTACTTTGGCTTAAGACGTCAGCCAGAAAAATCTTGTAGATTTTTTGTTTGGCATTTCATCAGAAGTAGAGTAGATGCTTAGACTGGACTGTGGACAAATGCTGAAGAAGAATATGTGATTAATTAGAGCTATCTCCTAAAATGAATACGAAAGTTCAATAGATAGTTCTCTACTCCTGAGGCAGTTCTGATAATAAGTGGTGATTCTACACGTTTGATCAGGGGGTGCACATGTGAGAGGAATCATCTCTCTGTATTTTCTTATTTTTCCGTCCAATGATTTTCAGATGAAAAAGGAGTTTTGCCTGTTTAGAAGTACCATCGAGGACTCGGGTATTGAAAGTGAGCTGATAGAATGTATCCTTGTATGATGAAGTTCATCAATTGTTGCATTTTCTTAAGCGTCTGATCTTTGGTGTGTTGTTTCTAGTTGACTTAATGAAATCTTTTGTTGAGTTTGAAAGGTTTTATCTTTGACTTAGTAGTTTTGACTGAAGAATGGTATACTGGCATTTTGGCACGGATTCGTATCAATGCTTTTCGAATCGAATTGCCCATTGGATCATATGAAGATCTTCTTTCCTGCGCAGCAGCAGCAGTAGCAGCAGAAGCTGCTGTTGGAAATGCCATTTATATGCTTCCATCCTTGTACAATCACGATTGTGGTGAGCAAGATTCCTTCTTTTCTTTTCGGCAAGCTGAGTGCTTATCCTTGTCTGCTGAACAGGATTGCTGTTTGTTTTTTTTTTTTTTTAAATTACCTTGTTTTCTCTATTGCTGCAGATCCTAACATAAATATATTATGGACCGAGAATGTGGATGCTAAAATAACAGCTCTCCGAGACATTGAAGAAGGTCTTTTCTTTTTATTTAGCCTTATTCTTTTAATGGCTTTCCACCTTTCATAGTTTATACGAGAGCATGTGATCTGGAGAACAGGCCATTAGTGTACTTCCACAATGCTTTCCTTTTCCAAGTTCTTATATTTTATGGTGCCACATGACCTAGCCATCTAGGATGAGGTCTTGTGTGATTCTTTGTTTACAAATAGTTGGAAAATAACTAGGCTTAAAAAATAAACTATCCTTTACAAGTATAGTGACAGTGCATGCACAGAGATATCGTGTAGTTGCCTTTAATTGGTACTTGTATGCACGCAGGGGAAGAATTGCGGATATGCTACATCGATGCTAGCATGGATTATGATGCACGGCAGGCAATACTGTATCAAGGATTTGGTTTCAGATGCAATTGCTTTAGATGTGCTTCGAAAGACTAAATTTTTGAGAGAAGTAACAAATATTCTCGTATGTTTTTAGCCACAAAAAAGGAAGTTATATAGTCTTAGCAAGGTAGTAATGTTGTCAAGCATGTACAATCTTCCATTTACCTCGTGTGCTTTGTAAGACAATTTTTATTGAGTTCACCTTACAGTTTCTCAACTAATCTTGCATTCACATGCATGGGATATAATTTCCAAGGAATAGAATCGACGCATATCCTGACATCAATCTGACCATCTTACAATAATTTGTATTGCTTCTGGGGGCTATTAAGTTAATATTGAGCATGTGAATTCGGCAAGATTGGATGGAAATGGTCCCCCTTGAGGAGCTGGCGAGGTTCGTATTCCATTTTCAAGAATTCTTTGCTGATAATTTACTAATTAGAAATACAGGCTAAATTTAAACTTATCCAAACATGATCTGAAATCTCTTGTGCTGCTATGTTTAATAGCTACATTAAAGTGTACCTGACTCGGGATTTGGTTAAGGTGATTGTGTTTTGATCGTGCATTTCATTGCCCTCTTAAGCCGAGATGACCTACAAGAGATTATTATCTGTTTATTTGGTTGATTCTTATTTGAAGAATAGATTCATATATGGTATGGTCACCAAATTTAAAAATAGCGTGCCATGTATTGCACAGGTGATGATAAATACTATTGAATTCATATCAGCAAAGATTGGCGGGAGAAGTTGGTGCATCTTGTATGGATTGATTCTGTGAGAGTTTGGTGGTGGTTGAGCACCATAAATGAAATTCTAGGTGATGGCAGCTGACAAGTTTGAAGGAGAAAATTTAAGTATGAACAGTTGCGCTTAAGCGGAGCTGTGAAATTGACTTGCAAATCCTCAACTCTGCCCTTCTCAAATCTCAACATATAACAGGACAAAATGCTTACCAAACACTATTTACTATATTTTGTTGTTTCATGCATCACTTGGGTAGGTTTCATGAGTCAACCAGATTCGTTTCCCTGAAATTTAAGATAGGTGGCAGAAATTCTTAACAAAACGTGGGCTTTCTCACCTGGATATGTATGACATTTCTGGTAGTCAACAATGCAAAATATTTAATGCAGTTGATCACATAATAATTATAGATGAGAGTTGCATGTATAAATATGGGAGATGGTCCATCCACATAAACATGAGCAATCTATTTAGGTTTGAAAAAAAAAAAAAAAAGATGGCAGCTGTTTTGCCCAACCCAGCCATGCAGGACCTCAAGATCACATACCAAGAATCCACTCTTGTTCTCCCTTGTCAACAAACTCACACAAAAACCACCTTCTTGTCCAACATTGACCACTTTCTCAATTTCAATGTCCCAATGACTCACTTTTTCAGGGCCAACCCGGATTTTCCACCTGAAACCGTGGCCGCGAGACTCAAAATGGCGGTAGAAAAGGTGCTGCTGCATTACGATTTCATGGCCGGCAGACTCAAGTGGAACCACCATTGTGGCCGGGCTGAGATCGAGGGCAACTCTGCGGGTGTGGGCTTTGTGGTGGCTTCTTCAGAGTTGTCTGTCAATGATATAGGTGATCTGGCCTGTCCTAACATGGGATTCAGGCAGCTTGCTTCTCAAAAGTTGGATGGCTTGTCCGAACATGATCAGCCACTCTGCACTTTTCAGGTCAGTGACATAACGACTTAAACTCGTGTAAAATTTGTATCTTTGTTCTTTGTGTATTTAAAAATTAAACTCGATGCGTGCAGGTAACCTCGTTCAAATGCGGTGGTTTCGCCATCGGGATATCGATGAATCACATCCTGCTCGATGGCGTAGCCGCAAAAATGTTTCAAGAAAACATAGCATCACAAGCGTTTGAAGACCACAGACTGCTGCAGTACGTCCCGTTCCACGACCGTCGCCTCCTCGCCGCCAGATCACCGCCGCTCGTCACTTTCCCGCACCCCGAGATTTTTAAGCCCATGGGCCTGGCACTCGGCCCTCTGCCTCAAGGTTCCAACCAACCACTGAGCCGAACAGTCCTCAAGATGAACTCAAAAGACATCGACTTTTTGAAGACCAAGGCGAAATTCTCGTCGACAGATGAGAATGTAAAAATCACGAGCTTTAAAGTTGTGGCGGCTCTCGTGTGGCGGTGCAGGGCCCTGTCGGCGTGCGATGTTGACAAGAATAGAGATAGAGATTCCACCATTTTCACAGTCGTGGATTTAAGGTCGAGGCTGAAGGAGATTCATTTGCCGGCAGAATACTGTGGCAACGCAATATACGGTGGTTATGCCTCGGCCAAATGCAAAGAAATCGAGGAGTGGCCGTTTTCGAAGCTGGTGGGGATGGTGTCCGAAGGGGTTGAGAAAGTGAATGACGAGTATGTGAGGTCGGCTATAGACTGGATGGAGATGAACAAAGGAGGATTGCCTTTGGGGGACTGCATAGTGAGCTCGTGGCTGAGGTTGGGCTTTAATCGTGTGGCTTTCCCGTGGGGAAGGCCTGTGCAGTGCGTGCCGGTGGCAAACCAGTTGGAGCGGCTGTGCTGGGTATTTCCTGAGAGTGGTGGTGATGGGGTTAATGTTTTGGTTCAGAGGCCAAATGAGGAGATGGAGAGGTTCATAGTCCATTTTCAAGACTTCTTTGCAGATACAAAGTGGTAACTAGAAATATATGATGAACCCACCAGTTATGAATATTACAGGCTAAATATTTTGCATTACATGGAAATGGAATGTGTTGATGATGTTTTAATTACAAGTCTCATGTTTTATGTGATTTGTTTATGTAATATATCAACCTGATAAGCTAAAATTATTTTGACACATTGAACTGATTTTACAATTCCCGATGGGTTACTAAGAAAACTTAAACAAAAAAGTCCCTCAATTTATGTAAAGTCCAAACCAAAAAAGCTCCATAGTCTTGAAACATTTTAATTAGAGTTAATTTTGATAAAAGTGGTATGGTAAATTGTTAGTGGAATTTTGAGTTTATAATGTAAATAATATTTAAAATAAAAAAATTAAAGTTAATTCAACGTAAAAGTAGGAGAGAGATGATGTGAAGAGATTGTTAGTTAAAATTATGTGAGTAGACAGAATATTGAATTAAAATTAATGTGATTTGTAAAAACGATTGGCTAATATTGTTTAATTATACTAATAACATTGAAGAAAGTGAAATTGAGTTAGATTTTTTAAATAAGAATTGAATATGAGTTGGAATAATTTTATAAACAAACAAAACATCCTCCAAGTATTTATGCTTTGTTGTTGCAATTTCATACAACAATTATGCATACATGAATGTTAACCTCTGGCCAAATGCGTTCTCCAATGTTATCCAAATAGATTGTCACACCCTTTATCCAATCCCATAGTGAAAAGTAACAAACTTTGACACCAAAAAATCGTTTTTCTAAGTAATCGTATGAAGTTAAGGGGCGGCGAAAAGAGAGCCTCTTGTTATTCTCCTAACTCTCATCTCCTCCCGCCTTAAATTCATACCAAACCAAAATCATTATTCTCATTCCTATAATAATCTAACCAAACTCACATCTTAAACAAAACAGTTTGCTAGCTGCTTTCATTACTTTAAAAAACATAAAAATAAAAAGATGAATAGCTAAACTTTGTAGACCTGCTAAACATCTATCCTCAAAGAAGCCTATTACTTTTTTTCATCCTTGTGCAACAATGGAGACTTTCTCTCTGAGCTCCTCCTCCATCACAGTTACGTCTAGAAATGTCGTGAAAACGGTGAATAACTGCAGAGTTAAGAGCAGCATGATGATATGTTGCCAAAAAAGTGACCATGTAGTTAATTCTAGTGGGATATCGTCTGTTTTGACAGAGAAATCTACGGCTTTGATCGGCCCGGCATTGATGGAGACCAGCAGTTTGCTTTTGAGCCCCAACGGTAAGGATTTGGTGTCGATGAGTGACGATGGCATCGGCATTGTCAAGTTCCTCAGAGGCAGAACATTTCTCATCACTGGCGCTACTGGATTTTTAGGAAAAGGTGCTTTTTTTTTTTTTTTTTGGGCAAAAGAAGAGTTGTTTTTGTCTTTTGCTTTATACATATGTAAAGAAGTCATTCTAACTTCTGTTATTGTTTGCTCTATGAAATTCAGTTCTGATAGAGAAAATACTGCGGACAGCTCCCGATGTACAGAAGATATTCGTCTTGATTAAGCCCAAGAACGAAGAAACTGCTGCCGATAGACTGAAAAACGAAGTATGCCATATTCCTGTTTACAATTCAATTATAAAAAAAAAAACAGCAACAAATAATATAATCTTGAAATGTATTGCCAAATTTACCTTTTTCTTTCTCATCTCAACTTTGTCGTAAACTCCGTGCATTGTTTCTCAATTTTTGCAGATCATCAATGCCGAGCTATTCAAGCAGCTGAAGCAAATTCATGGAAAATCATATCAAACATTCATGCTGAGTAAGCTGGTTCCTGTTGTTGGCAATGTCTGTGAAACCAATCTTGGGCTGGATGAAGATGCGTATACTTTGATGGCCAAAGAGGTCGATGTAATCATAAATTCGGCAGCCAATACCACTTTTGACGAGAGGTTACAATAGTTTTGTTTTACTTCTTTTCCTTGTTTCCATATAGTGAAATAGGTAAAGATTTTCTGGTGAAATATTCCATTATCTTCAGGTACGATACGGCCCTGGATATAAACACGGGCGGACCCACTCGCCTCATGAGCTTTGCAAAACAATGCCTTAAGCTGAAGCTCTTTTTACAAGTATCAACAGGCAAGCTGTTTTTTTTTTTATTTTTTTTTATTTTTTTTTTTATAATTATCAACCTTCCTGCAATAGTTAGTTTGAAGCATAAAAAAATGGAAAATGTCCATCTTAATAGTACCCAACTTTCAACAACCAATTAACCCTAAATTATTTTCCTCCTCCTCACTTAAATTATTTCATTTTTTTTTTTTTTTCTTCTAGGAAAGGTTGTGACTTTTCATTTTCTTTCTTTATTTTATTTTTCCTTTTTTCTTGTTGATGTATTGCAAGATCAGCTTACGTGAATGGACAAAGGCAAGGTAGGATTATGGAGAAGCACTTCAGCATGGGTGAAAGCATAGCAAGTGAGACTGTTGTTTATAAGAACAAGCAGCAGCTACACCTCCACAAATTGAGCATCGAGGAAGAAATCCAGAAAGTTCTGGAGTCCAAACGAGGTCTCGATGATAATGAACTGCTTCAGAAGATGAAAGAATTAGGATTGCAGAGGTAACAACACATCCACTTCTAGCTAGGTTTTTTGTTTTCCAAAAATCAATCATCAAATCGAGTTTTTCCCCCCTTCATCTTGTCAGGGCAAAGAAATTCGGCTGGCAAGACACGTACGTTTTTACGAAGGCTATGGGTGAAATGATGTTAGACAATCTAAAAGGGGACATACCTGTGGTTGTAATCAGGCCAAGTGTTATCGAGAGCACTTACAACGAACCATTCCCTGGATGGATGGAAGGAAACAGGTGTTTTTGACTTTTTTCCTCATAGACAGCTCCAGCAAATTTGGTTCACTTTTTTTTTCAAGTATTTATTTCAGGTTGACCAACAAAATTACATTTGTTTGCAGGATGATGGATCCAATCATTCTGCAATATGGCAAGGGCCAGCTGACTGGATTTCTCGTCGACCCTGATGGAGTTCTTGATGTAGTAAGTATCTAAAAAAAAAAAAAAAA